GTACTAACCATTGTTACTCTCCTAAAATCTTGTTTTGAGATTTTGTACCATTGTTTTTAATTTTTTTTCTTTAAAATAAAAATAACTGATGTCAAAAAAAAAAAAAAAAAAAAAAAGAAAAGAAAAAAAACTCCTAACCTTTCTCAGAGGCCACTGCATCCTTAGACAAAAACACTTCTCCAAGGACATCTGCCCAGCAACTGTCAGCTTAGGCTGACACCACCCTTTTTATTAATCATTGTGACCAAGTTTATTATTTTAAAATGTTTGATGTATTCTTCCTCAATTTTGTCTTTATAAACTTCCTTTTGCCCCAAACTCCTTGACTATACCCAGAGCGACATACATTTTCCCATTGAAATGCTATTCCCAAGTGTGAGTTTTCTTTGGATAAACTTTCTGATTATTTTTGTTATTTAGGTGGACAAAGGTCAGGGATCAAAGTGGTAAAGTGACAGAGAAAAATTTACTTTTTTTCCTCTTTTCTGTCTTTTTGAGGCAGAGTTTCACTATGCAGTTCAGGCTGGCTTTGACTCATTGTGCAGCCCAGCCTGGTCTTGAACTTGCAGTGAATCTCCTGCCTCACCCTCCCGAGTGCTGAGATTACAGTCATGAGCCACCATACCCAACTGGAAAATTCACTTTTAAACCATTTCAGAGAATGCACTTTTAAGGCTGAGAAAATGTTTAGAGGTGAAAAGTGATACGTGTGGTTATCGTTCTAAGTTGTAGGATTTAACCAGAGACAGCAAAGGTTCTTTTTGCAGTTAAAACTGCAAAGATCTATGTCAATGGTTTTTGCCAAAGAAAACATAGATAAACCCTTTGACGCAAGCCACTTTCCAGGTGTGGTCTGGGTTTTTTTTTGCTTTGGCCAGCACAGCTCTGTATCCACTGCAATCTGAACAAACACAACCACAATGGCTGAAGGAACTGTTGTGAAACAGGCCCCTCTGCTAGGCCATGGGTGTCATTTTGGTCATTGTGTGTCGTATTGATTACAGGTGGTGGCTATTGATGTGGACATGGCCTTTTTTGAACCGAAAATGAGAGAGATCCTTGAACAAAACTGCACAGGGGATGAAGATTGCAATTTCTTTGACTGTTTTTCAAAATGTGACTTGAGAATAAACAGGTGTGGTGCTCAGCGTGTCAACAGCAACCTTCAGGTAAGCAGGTTGAGGGTAGGGTGGGGAAGGCATCAGCTCTCTGGTCGCCTCTCCCAGCTTGTGTCACCAAAGATCCTTTCAGTGGAATTGAAGATCCATCTTTCTCACCACTGGGCTCAACCATAAGGGCAGGGACATGGGAAGTTCTTTTTTGATCTTGTGGACTTCCCTGGGTGGTTAGTCAGGTGGACCCCTGGGGGCTAATGTATGGAGGTGTCAGCAGAGTCTGTCTGCTGGGCCTCCTCTTCCCTGTAGCTCCACTTTAGCTGGAATGATGGGAAAACTGTTTTCCCTGAGTCCAGTATCCAGATCTACATAATAGTCTCTCTCTCCACCACACACTAAGAATGAGAACCCACAGATAAACTCTCAAGGATAAAGCTGATAAAAGTGCAGAATAGTCCCAAGAAATGGGCCCAGTAGAGAGGCTGGACAGACACCATAGCGCAGACAGGGCCAGGCTAGTAGGTGGTTCTCAGAGTTCAGCCATGAGTAGGAATTGATTTCGGCTTCTGGAAGTCAGATTGGGTTTGGAGATAGTGAGTCCCCAGGTTCAGGGTTGGATACCCCATCACTAGGAAATCATCTTTCATCTTTTGAAAGGAATCATGCCCTCTGCTGTCACTTGAGGATCGCAGTGGATGAGGGTAGACTTGGGTCTGATTGAAGCCGTCTAAGGTCTCTGGAAGGGGAAATGGTGTCAGGGCTCCTTTCCCCACTCCCTGGGGGTGTGCAATTGCTATCTGGTTCTTGTCCTACACTTTCCTCCCCTTTAAGTCTCTGACCTCACCCATTCCCCTAAGCACATCTCCTCTCCATCTGATCCTCTCAACAGGCCTGGCACCTGGAAGATGTGACCCACTGTACACCTGAAGTCCAGATAAAGTCAGAGTTGGCCAGGAAGCACAACATGAGCCTGCTATCCCATGATGGAGGGCTGGCAGGGGGGACCTGGACAGTCATGTTCTCATAGTGCTCCTTGGCCACGCCAGACAAAAGCCATGGTTCTGTCACCCCAACATCTACACAAACTTCTGGGTTGAATTCCAGAATCACAAGTGTTTCAATTTAGAGAGATCAAGCAATTATGTGGCCTCAGAGGAGAGCCATTTAACCTCTTTCAGGTGGCCTCACACCCTTGGAGGGTCTGTCATAAAACTCCTCTTTGTCACTTATGGGGACAAGATGATTTCCTCCACTCATGTGATCCTGTCTACCAAGTGGGAACACACCTACCCTGTACAGAATCATGAGAGAAGGAGGTTACATTCTTAGGTATAGGAAGTGCTCCTGCAGATTCACTAAGAGGCAAGGGGAACCCAGAGAAAACTGACAAGAAAGAACAGGTACCAGATGCGTAAATGATGAAATGCAAATGGTCTAAGAGTATGGAAAATTATTTAATCTTATCATTCAGAGACATACATATTAAAATTCAACGATAATAAGTTTCTTTAGTCCATTGGTAAGTCATTAAAATGCTATTAATTAATGATACAAGCTGCCAGAACATAGATAAGTGTCTATACTGTTAACATGATTCTAAGTTGTATCTCTATGGAGAGTAAAAGGATGTTATGAACATTCATGCTGAGCAATTTCACTTGTCAGTATTTCTGATTATTGCTTCTGAATAACACCTAGAAGCAAAATTACATGAACTTTAAGACTATAAAATAGCATGAAGTATTTAAAAAATAAAGGTTACTATTCAGTATTTATGATATGACCCCACCTTTGTTAAATTGTATGTGATTGGAGAAATAGATATCAAGGTGTCAAAAGCAATTATTTCTGAATGGAAGAAATATAGTTCTTATTCTCTTCATCTTTTCTACATTCTGTAAATTTTATACTTTTTTAACTTAAATTTGACTCAAAATATCCCTGCCCTGGATGGATTGATGAATCGATGGGACAGAGTTGTTAAAATTTCAGACATGGACCTACTGTGCTGTGGGCATTTAGTCTGTGGTAAGGTGGGCATTTAAGCCCAAAGGGGTGAAGCTGATTATATAACTAATGCCTGGTTTTAGTGACATGGATGCACAGCCCAATAAATGGTTAGATTAACTCCCAGTTTCACTCTTTAAATCAAATTAAATTCCAGATGATTCAAATACTTACACATAAAAGACGAAATCCTAAAAGTCCCTGAAAAACACTGAAAGAAGTATTAACAGTAACCTAGTATAGTACAGACCTGTGTAAATGTTGAACTGAGCTCAGGAGGCAAAGGAAGAGGAGTTGAAAATTTACCTATGCTTTAAAAAATCCACACTGCCAAAAACAAAGCAAAACTACAGAAAATGAGCAAATTTAAAATTTGTGCAATTCCCTTAAAAACCAGGAGGCCAGAGGATGGGTAGAGGATTGTTCCCAGCTTCTGGGGCTTACTTCTTAGGTGCAGCACCAAGGAACCAGTCCATGAGGGAGGAGAGGAGGACAGATCCTTGCCTCAGTAAAGGATAATGCCAGAGGTGCTTTTTTTCTCAGTTCCCTCGATGGGGGTCCCTGAGAAAGTCAATGCATCCCTGCATGCAGACCTCCACCTTAGCATCCATTTCCCCAGAACCTCCCCAGAGCAAGGGGCTGATACTTCTAAGCTGTAAAGAACAGCTGGAAATTAATACAAAAAATGATCAACAGCCTGATAGAACTTTGGACAAGCGATATAGAATTAACCATTCACTGAAAAGAAAGCCTGGATGGTTTCCCACCTGACTGAGAATAGGAAGCGATGTACTGAACCATTTCCTCCATCTGCTGGCAAAATGGGTCTGCTGTGAGGTCACTGGAGTACAAGTGTTCTTGGACCTCGGGCTGACGGAGTGGAAATTGGTGTCATTTTGTGGGTCAATTTGACAACATCTAGCAAAACAAACAAACAAACAAACAAAAAACATACAACCTTTGACCCAGAAATTCCACTCTTAGAAATTTACTCATATGAGCAAAAAGTAAATTCCATATATGTGCAAGGTATTTATTGCCAACATTGCCCACAAAGCCAAAAGTTGGTAAAAAGCCTCAATTTCCATCAAGAGGAAACAGCTTAAATACTTTATGATACATCCACACATTTGAGATGCAGCTGTTAAAACAAATGGAATACACTTATAAGAATCCATTTGGAGGCAGCTCCCTGACATATAGCTAAATGGGAATCAGAGCTTTAGAATACTATGTAGAATGACTATAATTTGTATAAAATAAATGAGGGAAATACATGTACAGGCCTAGGATCCACTGTGGGTGTCCAACTTTTTTTTTTTATCAGTACTAGAGATTGAACTCAAGGCCTTTTTAGACTTTAAGACAGTGTCAAAGTCTTAATTTAGGTTAAGATTCTAAGTTTGTTTTTTTTTTGGGGGGGGGAAGGGTCTACAGGGTGTTCAGGATCTCACTACTAGATCAGAATGGCAGTGATCTGTCTGTTTACAGCCTCCCAAGAGCTGGGATTCCAGGTACAAGTCACCACACCCAGTCTCAATTGCCCTCTCAGTGTGCCCTGGGGAGCAGGGTCGGCACAGGAGGCCCAGGCCCCTGCACTTGCTCGCAGGTGCTTTAATCTGCTGAGCTATTTGGCCAGCTTTTTTTTTTAGACTCTAAGTTGCCCAGGCTGAGCTCGAACTTGGTGGCCTTTCTGCCTCAGCCTCCCAAGTGCTGTAATGACAGGCAGGCACCACAATGCCTGGCTAGGTGTGGAACTTGGGTTCTAGTTTTTAAAGAAAAAATTGTGATAAAAATGGGGCTGATAAGATAGCTCAGCAATCTTAGCTCCTGCCCGGCAAGTGCAAGGACCCAAGTTTGATCCCTGGTACTGTATGCCGCTCCAGTCATGGAGCCCAAACCAGCCATAGTGGCACATGCCTGTAATCCCAGTGCTACAGCAGCTGAGACAGAAGGATCACTATGAGTCCGAGCTGCATAGCAAGACCCTGTACCAAATAAATAAATAAATAAATAAATAAATAAATAAATAAATTTTAAAAGGCATAAAAATAAATGAAGATTTGTCACCTTCCTACATTAACTGTATTATATATTTTATACGCAGCCCAAGAGAATTCCTCTTTACTCATTGCAGCCCTGGCAAGCTAGAAGGTTGGACAACCCTGGCCTTCAAAGAATATTGGACCAAGCTGCTGCCTTTCAGTATCAGGGTGGTTGGAGACTAATATTAAAATACATACCTCAGAATGTTTTCAATTTTGTACATGAAAATATATTCAAAAAAGAAATAAGCTGATGTGGTAGCACATGCCTGCAATCTCAGCACTCTGGGAGGCTGAGGCAGTCAGATTGGAAATTCTAGCTCAGCCTGGGCAACTTAGCAATTAAATAAGACCCTGTCTCAAAATAAAAAATAAAAAGGGGTTTGGGGTGTAGCTCAGTATAAAGTCCCTGAGTTCAATCCCCAGTACTACAAA